TTTTTTTTTTTTTTTGTCATTTCTTGATTCTTTCTAGTCCCCTCACCTATTTTCTCGTCCAATTGAGTCCTAGAACTTTTGGGTCTTCGTTATTTATCCTGAGCCAACCTTTAATTATTTTCAATTTAGTCCCTAAACTTTGAATTTGCTTCACTTTAGCCCTTTTATTATGCGTTTTCTCCCATTCCACCAATGTCATCGATATTTACCTATAAATCAATAATTACATAGAATTAAGCCATATTTCATATAATACATCAATAAATAGTCTAATTTAACGGTCCAAATAAGTGTATAAAATGTACGTATTATTATCATACATGGTATAATAAAAAACTGCATGATTGCTTCATATTTTTTCATATAATGGCCACACCACTTAGTATAAATAACAATCCTGATGCATATTTTCTAGAGTCTTTATCAGCCGTACGTCCGAATTCATAACCCATCGGAATAAGATTTGGTGATTACCAAACTAGCATATGATTCCTGGTTCTTCTAAGGTACTTTAGAATATACTTTATCGTTACCTAATATTTCAGCCCAAGACTAGATTGATATCGACTCACCACACAAATAGTATCATTAATTCAAGTCTAATGCATAGAATAGCATAAATGAGACTATCCACTGCTGACGCATAAAGTATCCTATTCATGTGTTCCATCTTTTCAAGAGTTTTAGAGGGTTGCTCCTTAGAGAATTGGATTTCATACTTGAAGGAAGATTAGCCTTATTGGAATCTTGCATCACAATATCTTATCAATATATGAAGTTTGGGACATATCTATTAGCTTGTTCTCTCAATCTCTCAAGAATTAGTATATAGCTAGCTTCACCTAATCTTTCATACAAACTATTGGGTCAACCATGCTTTCATAGACAACAACGCTCCCACATTACTTCTAATAAGTAGAATATCATTCATATAAAATACGTGAAAATCACAATTTTGTCATATATTTTCTTATAGACACAAAGTTTGTCGAAATTCTTATAAAAACCAAACGTCTTAATTACCTCTTCAAATCTCCTTTTTTAAGATCTCAATGCCTGCTTCAACCATAATTAGACACACACACACATTCCAGCATTCATATGTTGTTTCCATAAAGCTGCATCCATATCATCCATGATCTCCTTATGTAAAGTCATCATCAACTTGTACAGTAGAGATCGCCTGATCAAATCTCCAACCAACAAGTACCTAGTAAGAGATATTATGACTCTCCGACTTTATCTAATGAGAGCAGTTCTCGAACTATGGTGTCATTTGAAATCGTAATATTTACGACAATGTCAATATCACCTTCAAGTGACGCCATTACGCCTTCATTATCTTCAATGTTCTCTTGATCTGTGGGATCAAATGACAACTTATTTCTCCCATTCAGATCAAATTATCTAGGTATACCTAACATCATAAGATGTCTTCCCCAGGCTGTGTTCTAGGAATCGATGGATAAAATCGTTCCCACTCTTTTCTTCCAACACAACGTTATTCTTAGGCCGACGTTCATTAATATACTTATCCTCTAGGATGGTTACATTTATGATATCAAAGACCTTTCCATCTATATATATATATATATACAGAAATGATCTAATGAGCACCGGTGCTCATCTTATTCTAAGCACCGATGAGTTGGCACATTAATTCATTGGTGGATAAAGATTTTGTGAGTTCCAATCAACCAATGAAATATATATATACAGAAATGATCTAATGAGCACCGGTGCTCATCTTATCCTAAGCACCGATGAGTTGGCACATTAATTCATTGGTGGATAAAGATTTTGTGAGTTCCAATCCACCAATGAATTAATGTGCCAACTCATTGGTGTTTAGGATAAGATGAGCACCGGTGCTCATTAGATCATTTCTGTATATATATATATATCAAATTGGCTATAGTTCAACCTTAAGCATATCAAGGAGACCATCTCTTGCCAAGCTTTGTATCATGTTAAGGTTAATGTGTCTAAATTTAAGATACTATAGATACACTAATGTGGTATACCTATTACTTAGGATTTTCAGAAGTAACATTTATTTTATTTGTCGATCAATTCATCAAATGTGCAGCGTAACTAGAAACTTTATTTATTAAGATTCAAAGAGCATTAGACGCCAATTTTAGAAAATGATCTTGTCCTATTAAACCGCAAAATAAAAATTTCGCTTCATCTACTGGACACAGTAACAGTCATTAAGATTGAAATGCCTACCACTACTAAAATAAAAACAAAATACTCCTACGCTCTTGCCAAAAGCTGATGTGCCAACGTTGATGTTAAACAAAATATGATATATTGAAATCCATGTACCTGCTATTGTTTTAACAAAATAAAAATTGGTTTGTTTAATTTGTAGATAGTGTCAACTGTGACATTTTGATGATTTGTTTACTCTCTTCTACTTGGGGAAATGCGGAGTTTAATCAAGTTTTGGGACTGCTTAGAAGTTTCTGTTTGTACAAATTACTGTCAGAATGTGAGAAAAATAAAGTTCATCTTATAGCAGAGATAACCAGACAAATTGTAACGTCATAATAGCCGGAGGAACTAAATGTACAAGTGATTTCCACTTGCTAGGCTTCTGGCATCGCTAAATTCTCCTCCAGTGTTTTCAACCGTGTTAAATCAATACGAAGTTGGGGAAATTTTTGATTCCCATAACAGCGATTTTTAAGGAAATGAAAGAGGACAGATTGCCTCACGATACGCCATAACTTCTACTGGACACGAAAAGCAGAATTTACAGTTAAGTTGTTTAGCTGACTCTTCCTGAAATTGCTATTGTGCAGTAGTATGAGTTTCAAGCCCTTCACACCTTCTCCAGATTTCGACAGCTTCTTCGAAGGGCCAGGATAATATTTATCCTTGAGAACAACATCGTCTACACAAGTCCAAGAATGTCCTCTTGGAGAGCTGTCCGTGTACAAAAACCTGTCGGAGAATGGATTCACTAGACTGTTGCGGAATTCCTCTGCTGTTTCACAAATTACGCCCTGTAACAAACAATAATATAAATCCAACAATTTAGCTCCAAACAAATAAAAGCAATGGAGTCAGGAGAGAGAGAGAGCTATTGTGGGTTGTCTTATCTTACTTCTGACATGGCTTTGATCTTGAGAGTAACATCATCACTAAGAAGGACAAGCTGTCCTTCGTTCCTAATTCGTTTGAAGAAAAGAGCGCATTCAAGGATATGATCTTCTGTGGTAGGTGTAACAATCTCCTGGATACTACAAGGAGAAAACGGAGATGAGCCAATAGAGAATACACTCTTCTCCTCACCAAACCAAGATAAAGGAGAAGAAGGTGGGGTTGGTGCAACTGGTCTTCGTTCTTCAGCCAAGCTCTGCACATGAATCCACCCTTCTGCATTCTCCATACATTCTTCAATCCATTGTAGTGCTGCAGAAACCTCCGTTGTCCGTCTAAAGAAAGTTCCTCGTCTCAACATGCAATCCAGTTCCCTTATGACTAATATATTAAAAGGGAATAATCAAACTTCATAACAACAATATATATTTGACAGCATAATAAAGAAGAAATTACCAATTCTAGGTACTATCAGTCCAGTTCCCTTGAGACCTCGCAAAAGCTGCAACTCCTTCCTTGACTTTTTGTTTAGCAAACACGCAACGTCTACCACCATGGTCCACCTTTTGTTGTCCTCCTTAATGGTCTTTGTTATGAAAATTCAGGTAAAAGAAGTATCAAATCCATAAATATGATCTAAAAGAAACAATGAATAACTTGAAAATAATTCTCGGAAAAAAGATAAATCAAATATCTTTCTTCCTAACAATATTTTTCTGCACATAGAGAACATATGGACATTCTAAGGACATTTTTCCTCACATGAATATCAGTGTCCAACAACAATGTTACACAACTGCAGTTATTAAATGAAAGCAACCAATGAAAATGCATTTGCAGAAATATGGTTCTTTGAAGTAAACAAAGAGAAAATAAGAATTCTATGGAACTTCCCTCAAAAGGGTGAATGACCTCTTCGAGTCGAACAGAGTTGATAAACAAAGAGAAAATAAGAATTTTATGGAACTTACCTCAAAAGGGTGAATGACCTCTTCAAGTCGAACAGAGTTGATAGCTATGCCACTTCTCGTAGTAATATCAAGGTCTGAAGCTTTTGACTTAGTCTTACTGTTACTGGTGGAGTTCACAAGCAGAGATTGCAGAGGCTTTCTATCTGCTGTAGCCTTCAGTAATGCCAACTTCTCCAACCCAGCATCACTTTTGGATACGGAATTCACTAATTTCTGTTTTTGAAGAGCCATCAGATTCTGATTTTCTTTATCCAGAGAAGTAGGCATTTTGTCCTCTTGGTACATGTTACAGACAACTGTCTTCAACGGTGATGATCTGTGTGACTTCGGATAATCAACTTCTTTCAACTTCCCCATCTTCTCCGTGTACCTCAGTCGAAGTGTATTTGGAGTCATATTCTCTTTGTCTGGAGTGAAAATTTCTTCTTCATATTCGTCAGCACAAGAAAATAGAGTCTGCGAAGTTAAGTCACTCCTTGAATTCTCTTGGTACATGTTACAGTCGACAACTTTCTTCAGCGGCGATGATCTGTATGACTTGTTATTCTCAACTTCTTTCAACTTCCCCATCTTCTTCATGTACCTCAGTCGAAGAGTATTTGGAGTCATATTCTCTTGGTCTGGAGTGAAAATTTCTTCTTCATTCTCGTCAACACAAGAAAACAGAGTCCGTATGGTCAAGTCATTCCTCGGATTCTCCTGACCTTGGTTCTCTGAGGACTGAAGTACAAGAGAATTGGAAGAGCAATTCTCCTTGTCTGGAGTAAAGATTTGTTTTCTATCTCTGTCACTTCTAGCAAAAGGATCATCAGAAACTGATACACAAATAGGGGAAGAATTAACTTCAGAATTGTCTGGAGTGAAAATTTCTTCTTCATCCTGATCTACACGAGCAAACAGAGTCCTGGAGTTCTCATGACTCATGTTCTCCAAGGACTGAAGTATAAGAGAATTGGAAGAGATATTCTCCTTGTCTGGAGTATGTTTTTCATTATTATCACCCCTAACAAAAGCATCTCCGGGAACTGTTTCAGTTTGCGAATATTCACAAATTGGTGATTTTACTTCAGCATCATCTGGAGTGAAAATTACTGCTCCTTCATTCTGAGATACACAAGAAGAAGTGCACGAAATGAATTCGATCCTCGAGTTCTCCTGACCTGTGTTCTTAAGGGACTGAAATAGAGGGGAATTGGGAGTAAGGGTCTGTTTTTTATCAAAGTCGCCGTTAGAAGAAGGATCTTCAGAAACTGTTTCAGTTTGGCAATATTCACGAATTGACGATTTAACTTCAGAATTGTCCGGAGTAAAAATTTGTTCATCATCTCGGTCTGCACAAGAAAATAGAGTCCTTGAAATGAATTCACTCCTTGAATTTTCCTGACCTATGTGCTCCAAGGACTGAAGTAGAGGGGACTTGGGAGAGCAATTCTCCTTGTCTGGAGTAAATATTTGTTTTTTATCAATGTCTCCAACAGCAAAAAGATCTTGAGAATCTGATTCAGTTGGGGAATTTTCATGGATTGGCACTTTAACTTCAGCATTACTAGTAATCCTTGCACTCTTTCCTCTACTCCTGCTGATTTGAATCTGAACACTGGCCGGTTTACCTCTTCTTGACCAAATGCTTGAACCAGATGTCTTCTCCAATTTCACTTCAGAAATAACTGAATATTCTATTGGAGATACTGTTTGAGACACTTCTGAGGCAAAAGGCGCATCTAGTATGCTGTTTTTTTCATGGTCTATTTCAAGTGAGTTCTTGTTCTCAGCTTCCTCTTTGTCTGAGAAGGAATCATTCATGTCTTCAGGCATGGGAGGTGCCGATGGACTCATTTTTTGCACAGATGAAATTGGGTTCTCATTTGAAAATAGCAGCTGTAAACCTTCCAAAATATCAACCGAACTCTGAATTTGATCGTCTTCTCCATACAAACTGTTCTCATCCTAGAATATGAAATTATAGAAAATGAAAAAGAAATTCAAAACTACTATCATAACACTATTAGTATAATAATATTCTCCGCAGATAGATTTCTTGAAATTCACCTGATATGATTCTTTTACTTCATCTATTGTATCCAATAGAGGCACAAAAGGGTTGTTTAAATCATAAGCACGTGCAACTGGAAGCCAATGTAGCCTGTACAACCTACGAGATCCACCGAGCTGCATTGTGTCACCTTCTTTCAATTCTACCATAACCCCGGGTTCAATTTTCTTTCCAGAAATCCAAGTCCCATGTACTGGAATATAAAAACTCATAAATCAGTAACCAAGAAAACCTCATCCATTTTCAGTATCCAGTCGCACATTACAAACCCATAAATCACATAAAGATATTCCTTGCCTAGTTGATAAAGAAGCAATTTTGCATCCAACTCAAAGCACTGAGACTCAAAATTAAGTATTTTCAGCAAGAATTGACACCTCCACAGAGAGAGAGAGAGAGAGAGAGAGAGAGAGAGATTAATTGTCAGATGATAAAAATCCATAAACAACCAGTAAATTTACAAAATATCCATGTACACTTGTTATTCCTACTAAGAAAACAACAACGCCGCCAGCTAAATTATATTAATTGCATTGAGAACTACGGGAGAAAAAAAAAATCATAATCAAGAGCAATCAAGATTCAAGAGTTTATCACCTTACCATATAGAAAATGTCACCAAACATCATTATATGCACATCAACATGATTTACGTGTTCTGCACACACACACACACGAGAGAGTAGGATTCAAAAGCACACGAGCCAATGCCAAGAAACAAACCCCTAATCAAAATTCAAAACGGGTTGGAGTGGATTATACCAGAATACAAGTCAATGACAGAGAGGGAGTACGAAGAACGGTTGGAGTGAATACGGAGGTGGAATCTGCTGATACTGGGATGTTCCAAAGTGAGATTACAATCGGGATGCCGTCCAACCAACAACGTTTCTTCCTTTATTGATTCTTTTCCGTTCTTGGAATTGAATTCCACTGAAGAAGAAGGGATTGAAGGTCGATTGTTCAGGAGATAGATATTCTTCAGAATAGCATGGTTCTTTAGCACCGTGAATACTGGGATTTTCCTCTCCTCTGCCTTTATCTCTGATATGGGAGGATTCAGTAGTTCTTCTTGATTGTCAGCCATTGCCAGAGAAAGAGAAAGTCTCTGTTTGTGTGTGAGAGAGAGGGGTTCTTCCGTTCTTGTTTCAAGTAAAAACAGTAGTGATTTTGGGGGAATTTGAATGAATCTTGAAAATGGTGACCGTTAAGAAATAGGACTGTTTTCGACATTTTGTCATGTGAAACGGCTATTTTTAATTCAAATCGAGAAGTTAATAAAAAGTATTTCTTTGGTTTGAATTTTTTTTTCTTTTTTTTTTTCTCAGCATTTCTCTTATATAATTCCAAGATCTTGGATAAAAGTGTTAAACTAAGTCGAGTCAAACCACCTAGGAACCACGACTTGTGAACAAAATGTGAGGCTCGACATGAATCAACATGCCAACAACTTGATCTATAAAAGTTCAAAAATAAAATGTGTTCATTTTCGAAGACACTACAATTTACGAGCTAAACAAACTTCTTCACACAACACAATGGAAAAAGAGTATCTTCTGTGAATTCTAAATGGGGTGTATTTATTGGTACTTTTGAAAACTTTTGAGAATTTAAAAAATTTCGATATATTCAATTGAGACTTTTAAACACTCATTAAAAGTTTAGGTGTATGTAATTGGAACTTCTATAGACTTTTAACCCCCTTTTGATCTACATTATTATTTCATTAAAATGAAAAATATGACCGTTATCCATCACATTAACATTTAAATTCAAAATTTCTATCTCTTGTGTGGACCTCAATAACGATTATATTTTTATTCTCATTCTATAATAATTTGGCTCAAACAGGGCCTAAAAAGTTTCTAAAAGTCGTGTGGTATTCAATTGAAACAAATTTCTATAAGTTATGAGATATTCAAATAGACAGTGATTTTTGGAGAATTCTCTACTTACTACGCTGTTGGAGAATTTTTAGTGGAATATATAAATAACAAATCTTTTAAAAAAAAATCTCTCATATACTCTAAGATTTGTGAAAAATTAAGAGCTAAAAAATAGAATATCTTTTTTCTTTTAATTCTAGGATTTTCTCATATCTCTTCAATTCATTTGCTGTAATCAATTTATGATTATTCTATTTGTACATAATTACTTTTGAATTTAAATTATATGCAGTTATTTCAAAAATGTAAAATTCCATGTGATCATTTTGTTTTTTGTTTTTTATTTATTTGTTTAAGAACAATTTATGTTCTTAGAATTTATGTTAATTTCGTGAAATTTTTTTGGTTATATTCTTAGAAATTGGCGTAATTTTTTTTATTATTTTATTTGTGCCACAATTAAGCGACTAGGCTGTGACTAGTGACTTTACCCAAAAAAAATTTGTGAATATCATGGTTCTCGAAAATGTTAATTATGTGGTAAGAAAGATTGTAATTTGTATATAATGAATTTGTAAGATGAAGCCTACATAAATGGAATAAAAACTTTTATTAATTCTTAACAAATTCATAAAAGTCACTTAATAGTTCATAAAATTCATAAACGTCACCTACTTAAAAAGGTTTATAGAAGTTTAAAAATCTCAATTAAATACACCCCCTTTAATATCAATAGTTGGAGGCACAATAAGAAATGCTGAATTAGTTAGCTTCACAAATTATTAATTCCTACACGAATATCGTTCTGAATATTATTTTGTGAAAATCTCATAACTTATAATATTTTAATCAAAACAAAAGCAAAAGACCAACAATAGTTTCTGCCTCCATTCGATGTAAGGGTCCATTTGATAGGGTGGAAAATTGGTGGAAAGAAAACGAATTTTAGGAAAAATAAGGTGCCGTTCTCTTTGTGTTTCAGTTTTGTGTTTTGAGTTTTGAATTCATTTTGTGTTTTATGTTTTGAGTGTCTGTTTTGAAGTTTCTGAAAACGCGTTCTTTTTGTTATTCTGAGAAACTGTTTCTGAAAACATGAAAATGGAAAACGCGTTTGCTTTGAAATTTTGAGAATATATTTTTTTATAATATTTGATTCAAAAAATCTGATTATTCAATAAATTTTAATAGTTTGATTTTAATATAGTATTAAATAACATATTCTTTTTTAAGTTGGTGAAACTTGAAAT